ATGCTGGCTTTTGTCTCCCATGAAAGAGAAGCAGCCAGGATGCGGCTGCAGGGACTCTCACGTCTCCGTCTCACATTATTTCTCACTCCGCCTGACAGAGAGGGCGGCCCGGGCGATAAATTCACCTCATTACAGATTTAATAAAACAAGCATGTTGGTTTGTTTTCCAAACGGCTCTCAGGCTGGATGGAAAGCAGCTGAGTCATAATAATGGACGGGTTCTGATCAGGTGGTTCAGAAAGTTTCTGTTTATCAAATCAAAGTGGAGGTGTGTGTGTGTGTGTGTGTGTGTGTGTGTGTGTGTGTGTGTGTGTGTGTGTGTGTGTGTGTGTTCCTCGCTGCAGTGGGTTTCTCCTTCATGTCTGCTTCCATTAGTCCAGGTCTGTGTTGTGATTCGCCGCTGCAGGCCGGAAGTTCGTCATCCCGCAGGAAGAGCTGCTGCAGGGCAGCGTCTCGCTCCGCCGCAGGGCTCGGCAGCGCAGACAGGTGTTGATGCTAACAGGAGCAGCTGTTGCTGTCATTGTTCTGTTTGTTTGGGTGTCAGTCTGCTGCAGCCGCTGTGCTGAGAGGAAAACCTCAGGCGGTTTCTGATTGGCTCTGCAGAGGCCAACCTTCACCTGAGGACCTGTCGCTGATTGGCTGGGACTGGTGGCTCTGCATTCACAGCACTCGTATCAATACGAATAAAGTTTTCTTCTCAGTTAAAGTTCTGTGTGTATTCTTGGCGGGTCCGAATAGCAGGCGGCGCTGGATGAGCCGACTGGAGGCCGAGGCGTCGTCAGGTGGCAACCTGAGGAATGAGCTCCGGCAGCTGAGCCGCGTTTTCACCGCAGAGCATGACGGACCGGACTGGACTGGACCAGGACGGAGTGAACTGGACCGGACCAGGCCCGACTGGGACGGACTGGACCAGGACGGATCGGGCCCAATCTGGACTGACCAGACCAGACTGGGACGGCAACCATTCAGCTGTTAAAACGCCTGGGTGGACCTAGCCCCGCCCCCGAGGAGCAGCTCCTCCCCCTCTCAGCTCCTTCAGACTAGCCAGCAGCAATTAGCAAACAGCTGCTGAGCTCATTATAGGAGCAAAACTCAATGAAAACATTAAGGGTTTAATAGAGGAGCCATTTTGGGACGACTTGCTGGAGGCGGAGCTTCAGAAAGAGCAGGAGTTTTAATCAAGTTTATTTGAGTAGGACATTTCAGATCAAGGCAGTTCACTCATAAAAACACAGAAATATAAAGTTATAGAAGCAGTCAATGCAGAGCAGCTGTTACACTTAAAAATGTTGATTAATGTTTAATTTATAATGTTTCAAAAATCAAATCTTAAAGGGACAGAGGCAAAATTTAAGGCCTTAAATTACAACGTCAAATTTCTTTCAATACAGCATTTTAATAATAACTGAAGGTAACATTAGTTATGCTATAAAACGGAAAACACATAAAACTAATAATATTGCATCTGACTAAACTAAACATGAATAATTTATAAACACTAAATAAATCTGCTGGTAGAACCAACGGCTTTCAGAAAGAAGGTCCTGCGTTCAGTCAGGTGTTTCTGTTACCTGCTCATCATCATCATCATCATCATCATCATCCTCTGTGAATCTGGATGCTTCACCTGCTGCTGCAACATCTTCTGCTGCTGCAGCACCAAATCCCGTTTCTGCTGAACCGGCTGCAGGCTGTTTGATCCTCCCAGCTTCATTCAGCATCTGAAAATCAGCTTTTACCAACAACCAGGTCATAACTCCGTTACTGTTTTACTGAATGTTGTCTGCATTATTTAAAAAAACTGCAATTAAAGTTGAATCTTGGGGAAAAAGTCTTAATTTGTTTTATGGTTTGCGGTGGTTTCCCTCAGCATTTAAAGAGAAGAACTGTAACAAACAAAGAGCGTTAAAGATCCCTGCTCTGCACGACACACCCTTTGTGTTTCTGACACATTAGGGAACCCTTCAGGCCACTCGTAAAATAAAACAACATATTTTCTCTGCTCAATAAAATAAAACAAGATTGGCCGCCTCTGCAAAAAGCACATAGGCAGCACTTTTCTCCCTCTTTTCCTCTGAGGGAAACGATTGTAAATGTGTAATTAAATTAATAAAATAGTCCCACGTAGTAAATCAGCGCCCCTTGAGGACGCCTGATTGCGCAGACGTGTTTGTGATTATGTTTGTGCGCTTCGTGCATGTATGTATCATGCATCGGGGTAAATCATAACCCCTCTGACGCTGCGGCGGAGCGGCGGGTTGGCGCTGAGGTGGGGGCGCCGTGGCCTCGCCTCTCTGCCAGTTTGTGTTATAATAAAACATTTTAAAGCTCCTCATTAAGCTATTCTGGGCGCAGGCTTGGCGCGGCGCAGCAGAGGGGAAGGTGGAGGAGAAAACGTGAAGGTAGAGGCAGCAACTGCCAGCGTTTCCGTGCCAACGCATCTCCATGTGATTGGTGGCTGCAGGCCGAAATTACAAACAGATGCTGATGAACGTGATGCAACCGGGCAGACGCGGACCGGACAACCAGGACAGGCGGAGCGGAGGTCCGGTCCAGGACGGCCGGCGGAACATCATCAGCTTCATTTGGGCTTTCACTCACATTTATTGCCTGTTTTCTGTTTTAAAGGTTCCTGCAGCTTTAAGGAGGAGAACGACCGCAGGAAGCTCTCCGTGACCTTTTGGGGTCCAAACCCTCCGGACCATGACGTCATTACAATAAACAATAATGTTGTTGTTTTGAGACCATTTTCCAGTAATATAATATTAATAATGGGTAGTAATACTTTTAATAAACATTTATCACTGGAACCGGACGACATTTTAAATGTCTAAATTAAATAAAACAACAAATAAAATTAATTATGAAGCTGAAAACGATAAATCATGGAAATGGAAATTATTGAGCTGGTTTGAATTGATTAGTTGATTAGCTGCTAATTGTGACAGGTTTAGATATTAATAACAACATGCACTTTCACAACGACACCAATCCTTTTAGTCTGAATGGGACTTTTTCACGACAATCTGAAAATAGCCAAATTCTGATCGTTTCACCCTAAAATGAATCCGATCTGTTTCAAATATGGAACCAGTCTGAACTGGACAGTTTTCAACGCGTCTGATCGCATTTATTCTGACCTTTCAGTCGCTGATGTGAGACATGCGTCATAATTCAGCAGCAGAAGAAGTCAGGCGTGAATCTAAACAACGTCTGAGAACGATGCTAATGAAGTGATGAAGTCAGTGAACGCATCACATCCAAACTCTACTGAAGAGTTTCTGGTCTGTGTGTCACTAACGCAGCTGTTGCTCCATTCTGGACTCAAAGCTTGTTCCCGCAGTGGGTTGGCCTCTGATTCTGGTTCTGGAGTTCATGAGCAGAACTCTGAGGTCCGGTTGTATAAAAGACAGTTTGGTTTGGGAACCCTAAGGTCTCAGTCATGCCCTTTGGTTCTGTTGTTTTCTTCCAGCCGGGACCTCCAACAAGACCTGCACTGATGAGATGAGAGGGGAAAGGTTCTGCTTCTCTGAGACTGTTTTTCTTTCCTCCTTCAGTCCGGTCGACCCGGTTCTACTGGAACCAGAACATCTGCTCCACTTCCACCTGCTGTGGCTCTGAGTCCAACCAACCTGTTCCCCTCCTGGCCTGTGGGGGCGCTGCACCAAGAACCACTGAAGGAAACGACAAAAAACCTTTGAAGACACTGAGAGCAACTTCCTTCTTCACAGGGTGGAAACAAGATGGAGGCGTCAGATGGAGGATTTCTCTTTAGGCTAAAGACCAGGAGCCATTTCTGCTGCTAGCGCTAGGCTAGCATGTTAGCTTTGGTTGTATTTATCCGCTTGGCGTTCACATGCGTTCAAACCGCTCCAGAGTTTGGTGGATGAAAACCAGCTGCCTGTTTCCAGGTGATTCTGATGAATAAACGCTACAGAGACCAAAAGCTAAACAAGGAACCAGAAATAATCTAAAAATTAAAGCCACTGCTGAAGAATTAAAAGAAGAACAGAGGAAATTTTCCCCCCTTTTTTTTTTTTTTTTTTTTTTTACAGTATATTTGCGAATCAAACCTTTATCTGTTTTAGGTTTTATTAACTGAAGCAATCATGAAACACAACACTGAAGTTTTATTCTCACGTCTTTGTGCAATAAAGGGCTAGTTCACGTTTTTTTCAGATCTATTCCAACAAAATTCAGAAAAACAGTTTTCTAGCATTAGAACCTCATTTCCGGTTTGGACCTCTGACCCAACAGGATGTAGAATCAAAACTTTTAGTCTTTAAATGTGGGTTTATCTGCCGGTTCTGTTGTTCTGGGAACCAAAACTATCAACAAAAAATAACTTGGACTAAAACTGAAATGTTGATGTGATAAATAAAGATACGGATAATCTGCAAATAGATTGATTCAAAAATCACTTTTGTTTATTTTAGACAATAAAATTAGGATAATAAGATAAAATAAGGAATAAGTCTGTAAATTCAGACATTTTCCATCCCACTTCTTTTTGTTTTTCATTTTTCACTCTTGGATGATTCTCCAAACTTTTCAGGACCTTTTGATCAAAGTTAATTAAAAAATAACATTGAATCCATTTATGAATTGCAGTCTGTGATCCAGATCATGTTTGGCATCAAGCTGAAAGCGACACCAGCAGAACCAGAGCGTCAGCAGTGTTACTGGTACCAGGAGGCGGTTCGGTGAGGTTCTGCCAGCAGCTGAAAGCAGACGGCTGTTTAATGGCTGAGGTGCCTGATAATGACGATGCTGGTAGGAGAGAAAAGGCCGGGCCAGCCTCACCATGGCAACCGCTGTGTTTACGTTAAACGGCGCGGCGGTAATGGAGACGAACCGGGACAGGAGAGCAGCTGATGAGCCCAGCGCCTCGTTTCAAGGACAAACCAGGCTGGTGTCAAGAAAAGCTGCTGCGGTGGCGACAGAAGACACAACTGAGAGGCTCAGAAAAGATCCAGAGGCTGAACGCGTCTGGTTCTGAGGCAGAACAGAACCGGGCCGAAACCTGAACCCATTCCAGTTTCCAGGGGTTCTGGAAAAATGGCTTCTTTCTGGATAAAAACTCCACCTCTCTGCTCCTCCGTGACGCTCTGATAGGATCTGATACTCTGGATCCGTTCAGACTGAAAAACCAGAACCGCTGCAGGTGTTTGTTTATCCGGTTTTCCATTCAGAACCGGGTCAGCTGGAGCAGCAGGACAGAATCCATGTTCTCTCACATCAGAGTCTCCAGGAAACATTTACTCTGCTGGAAGAAAAGATTTAAATAAGTAAAATACCGAAGCATTCATCCTTCATTTCTTCTGACGGGAACACTGCCACTAATACGCTACCTGTTAGCTTAGCATTTTAGCTAAGCTAACAGGTAGCG